TAAGGAAAATTTTCATTCTGAACTGGATTTCTATATGGACATTTTTATTAAGTCTAGCTGAATAGGGCTTTCATAATGAAATCCTTCATTCAGTCTGGCTGAACGGGGGTCTCAGAAGGAAATACATCATTCAGCCAGGCAACATATCGTTTCTATAAGGACATCTTCCACTCACCCTGGCCATATATCATTTCTAATAGGATATCTTCCATTAAGCTTGGCTGAATTGGGTTTCTATAAGGAAATTATTCATTCATACTGGCTGAATTGAGTTTTTATAATAAATTAACTTATTCAGCGTAGCTCAATTGATCGTACGATATGAGTGAATATTGTTTGTGATAGGAAAATGACTTTTCAGCCAAGCTTAATAGAGTTTAAAACATGAAAATTGCTTTTCAGCCAGACGGAATAGAGTTCCTGATAGGAAACCTGATTTGCTTTTGAGATTGGTAAATCGAGTTTCTCGTAGAAAAAACGTCTCTGTCTAGCTATAAGGAAATTTTCCATTCACCCTGGCCATATATCATTTCTAATAGGAAATATTCAATTAAGCTTGGCTGAATTGGGTTTCTATAACGAAAATATTCATTCATGCTGGCTGAATTGAGTTTTTATAATAAATTAACTTATTCAGCGCAGCTGAATTGATCGTACGATATGAGTGAATACTGTTTGTGATAGGAAACCGACTTTTCACCAAGCTGAATAGAGTTTAAAACATGAAAATTGCTTTTCAGCCAGACTGAATAGAGTTCCTGATAGGAAAACTGATTTGCTTTTGAGATTAGTAAATCGAGTTTCTCGTAGGAAAAACGTTTCTGTCTGGGTGAAAAAAAAAATCGATAATAAACCAGTTATTCAGTTCGGCTGAATAGAGTTACTGATAACTGCTATTCAGGCTGGCTGAATGGGGATGCTTAAGGGAAAACTGTTTTTCAGCATGGCTAAATAGAGTTTCTGATAGAAAAACTGATATTCTGAATAGTTTCGGATATGAAAAAAACAATTCAGTCCGGCTGAATTTGGATCTCATAGGAAACCACATATTCAGCCCTGCTGAATAGTACTTCGAATAGGAAAACATGCATTCAGGCTGTCTAAATAGATTTTCTTATAAAAAAAAAACATAAATTCAGCCCAGCTGAATTAGGGTTTTTATCAGAAAAAAAAAATATATTCCTTCCCGGGTGATTAGAGTTTCTGATTTGAAAACATCTCTTCAGCCCGACTGAATAGGGTTTCTGAAAAGAAATAAATAAATTCATCCCGGCTGAATAGGGTTTCTGATAAGAAAAAAATATATTCAGCAGAGCTGAATCGGGTTTCCGATAAAAATACATAAATTCAGCCAGCTGAATAGGGTTCCTTATAAGAAAAAATAAATATGTTTTCTTATTAGAAACATAAATTCAGCCCAGCTCCGGCGGGCTAGGGTTTCTGATAGAAAAACATATATTCAGCACGGCTGAATACGGTTTCTGACAGAAAAATATATTCAATTCGGCTGAATAGTGTTTCTGGTGGAAAAACACATATTCAGATTGCTGAATAGGGCTTTTGTTAGGAAACCATATTTTTAATGAAGCTAAATTAGCATTTCCATAGAAAAATAGTTTTTAATAATATAAAATATATTCAGTCCGGCGGAATAGGGTTTCTGATAGAAAAACATATATTCAGCACGGCTGAATACGGTTTCTGACAGAAAAATATATTCAGTTCGGCTGAATAGTGTTTCTGGTGGAAAAAACACATATTCAGATTGCTGAATAGGGCTTTTGTTAGGAAACCATATTTTTAATGAAGCCAAATTAGCATTTCCATAGAAAAATAGTTATTCAGCCCAGCTGAATAAGGCTCTTCGAACCAAAAAAATATTCTGCCCAGCTGAATAACAGTTGTCAATAAAAAAACACCTCTTCAGCAAGGTAACAATAATATTTTTTAATATTATCTATCCATTTATCGGACAGCAATAAATAAAACTCAATTGTTGAGGGTCTTCTTTGTGCCGTTAGGCCTCCATTGACCTGAAATTCTCAGAGCGACTATCTAGAAAATGCTTTCGTTTATTATTATTTTTTTTCTTTTTAATATAAATAAATTATAAATTTATTATTGTTGGTTGGTGTTGGCAGTAACGAAGCTATCTTATCAATGTATCAATATTCATTTGCCCTACATAACCCCCACTCCTCGGTGCCCCCCTTCTCACCCACCCTGAATTTCATTAAATATTGTCAGCCATCGATTTAGTCAATAATATTTATTTGCATTGTTTATGGGACTCACACAGTCTACAGATAAGTTGTGAAATTTTTTACCAAGAAATCCGCAACAAGCTATTAATGAGAGTTATTTTTTGTTGGTTTTGGAATTATGAAAACAAAATCCCGAAATTGCTCATAATATTAAGAATATTGTGATGAATGTGTGTGCCAAAAAAAAACAAATCGGGAAGATAAATATTTCAACGAAAAATGAATTAATGAAATGTTCACTTGTAAACGAACCTTAAGTACCAAATGAGTCACACCTCAGATATATCGATTAGATATAGATGCAACACAAAAAATAACCTTAAATAGTAGGGCTAACGTCGCTTGAGATAAGCATTCGGAATGATAAGATTTAGTTAGTCAACAGTCAAAATTGGTAATATTGGCTTCAAAAATTATTCTTTAGAAAAATCCGCCACTTAGTAAACCTTTCAAAAATGAATAGTTATAAATCGGGACCTTGGAGAGAGTAAAATTTATTTTATTTGAAATCCGCATAATGGCAAGCCCTTTTGGTAAATTATTCTTTAAAAATTCAACACCTTGGTTGTACTTTTAACTAGTAATTCAATCTCTAGGAACCCGCAATACCAAATTACAGCAACTTCGGTTTGGAAAAATCCGACTAAAACCTTCAAAATCACGAAAATCGGAAGCTACAAAAGAATGGACCAATATCGTAATAATTGTAAAATAACCTCTAAGAACCCGTAATATCAAATTACAGGGACTTCGTTTGGGAAAAGGCAGCAAAACCCTCAAAATACCAAAAATCGGAAGGTACAGTTATATAGGGGCTGAACCAAAACCAGAACCGATATTGATAATTTTTGGTAAGAAGATTTCACACCCAATGATAACCTAAAATATCAAATTAGAGGCAATTCGGTTGAAAAATGTGTTCAAGCTCCCCCAATATACCGAAATTCTGGAGATACCCTTATATAGGAGTGACACTAAAAAACAGAAAATTTTTGTTTTTCAATCTCTAAGAACTACAGCCACTTAAGTTGGGAAAATGTGAATGAAACCCCTAAAAATACCGAAAATCGGAAGGTTCCTTTATATTAGAGGGCTATTTCCGAACATGGGCCTATATCAACATTATTGTAAAACACCTTCCAAGAACATGTCATGCCAAATGGCAGGTTATTATGTTGGGTAAATGCAGCTAAACCCTTCAAAATACCGAAAGTCGGGAGGTACGGATAAGGGAGCTACGCCGAAACATGTCCTATATTGATAATTTTTAGTAAAAAGGAAGATTTCACACCCAATGTGATCACAAAATACTAATTTGCACTCAAATCGGTTGAGAACCTTGCCCAATGTCCCCAAAATACCGCAAACCGGTCGGAACCGTTATATGGGAGGTACCCCGAAACATGGATCAATATAAATAATTTTCAATACAGATATTTTCTACCCAATGAGAATTCGAAATACCAAATTACAGCTAATTCGGTGGAAAAACGTACTCAAGCTCCCCAAAATATGGAAATTCGGGAGATACCCTTATATAGAGGCTACACTAAAAAGTTAACCAATATTGATAATTTTTGGTAGGATGATTTTACAACGAATGAGATCTAAAAACACCAAATTACAGCCAATTTGGTTCAAAAAGATGTTCAAGCTCCCAAAAAAAAAAATCGGTCGGAGCCGTTATATGGGAGCTATGGCAAAATGTTGGACCATATTTTTAATTATTGGTAGAAAGATTTAAAAGTCAGTGAGATTCCAAAATAAAAAATTACAGACATTTCTGTTTGAAAAACGTGTCCAAAATCCCCAATATACCGGAATTCGGAAGGTACCCTTATATGGTGGTAACCCCGAAATATGCACCAATATAGACAATTTTTGGTAGGGAGATTTTCAATATAATGAGATCCCAAAATACCAAATTACAGCCAATTCGCTTGAAAAACGTACACTAATTTCCCAAAATACCGATATTCGGAAGGTAATGTTATATGGGGGCTACCCTAAAAAATTGACCAATATTGATAATTTTTGGTGGGAAGGAATGCTACACCAAAACAACAACTAATAATAAAAAATTACATCCAATTCGGTTAAAAAAACAGCCCAAAGTCCTTAACATAGCGAAATTCAGGAGGTACCGTTTGAATGGGAGCTACCCTAAAAACTTTACCAATATTCATAATTTTTGGTAGGAAGATATAACACCATATGAGATCCAGAAATAAGAAATAACAGCCAATTTGGTACCCCTATTTCCTCAAAATACCGAAATAGGGGCTTTGGTCACCCTTAAAAAAAATACTTACTTAACTGGCTCGAGACAGAACATTTCTTCCATACGCCGAGCTTAACCAAGATTTTCAGGCGAGCTGGTATTGTGCGCAGCTCTTCCAATTTGAATGACCATGCTTTGATATGTTATCCTCTACTTCATCCTTTCATCGAATTCCGATTTTATATGCCAGTTGATCTGAGACATTTTCATTACGGCCTCGCTACCGTAGTCGCTACAGTTCGATGCGTCTGACTATGTCGATGTCCGTATATAGATGGTATAGCTCGTGGTTCATTCGACGCGCATATTCACTGGTCCGAGTTTTATGGACGTCTTGCGCGTTGATACTTGGTCTTCTCGCCATTTACTGCCAGTCCCACTTTGGAAGAATGCTTCTAAATCTGTTCAATGGTGGATGTTACCGCTCTCAATGTTCGACACATTATGTCGATGTCATGGTCGTAGGCGAGTACCGTATCTTGGTTGGTGTACAACAGGATGGTAAGAAATGTCACTCGAGAGGCTGCCACCTTGCCTGAGCCCTCGTTTGGCATTGAAGGGCTCCGAGAGACCCTTCCTGACTTTAACTGCTGACCTGCCATTTAAAGTTATCCTGCTTAGCCGTATTAATGATTTTTAACACCTCTGAACGGATATGACTGTCGAATGCGACTTTATAGTCGACGAATAGGTGGAATAAGTCGTTGTATTTTTCGTGAATCTTTTCTAAGATTTGGTGCAGTGTGAAAATCTGGTCTATGGTGGATTTGCTATGGTCCAATAATGTTGTCATTGACAATTGGCTTCAATCGTTCAGACAGCACCAATTATTGGGCATACATTCCTCTAGCCGAATTGTTCTAATCAGTTGGTGCATGATCCCGATCAGCTTCTGACCACCGGTCTTAAATAGTTAGGCTGGTAACCCATTGACACCTGCTCCTTTATTATTCTTCAGCAGATTAATTGCTACTATGACCTCGTCTTGTGCTTCTATACTATTATCGGGACAAGACGTGCTTTCGTCAAGCAGGTGGGTAAGTTGAGCGGAGTAGGATTATGTTATCGGTTGTGTTTTGCAGTTTTTCGACGTCGGCTGTTTCTTACATATTTTCATATCTGGCTTGTGACAGAACGGTTGTTCCATAAGTTGAGCTTAAAAAAGATTTCCAAGCGTCTCGTCTTTTGCGCATATCATTCAATTTAATAAACCATGTTCCGAGATGTTGTCTTCTGCTTGATCTTTCGATCGGATTCGTGGCCTTCCCTTCAACGTGAACCATCACTGGGATCGATTTTATATGCCTTTTGAGTGGAGGAATCTTCATACATTCTCACAACATGACCTATCCAACGTAGTCGCTGCATTTCGATCCATCTGACTATGTCGATGTCCGGGAATAGATGGTTCTAGGCGCTCGTAAAATATGTCTTTGGTCTGCTCATCTGATGTAGAAGAACTTCACTTTTATACGGATTATAACAATTCGCTCATCTACTGGAGTGAATCTGGAGACGAGGTCTTTTATTCTCCTGTTAACCACAAATCCGCAGCCAAATTCTCTGTATCGTTTCATGGCAGCTATAATACGGTGTGTAATCATATGATTTACATACACCTGTCCCTTTCCATCGCACGCGTTGGTGACCCCAAAATGTTGTCTTGTAAAATTTCTCATTGTTGGCAACATTGCACGTCGAATTCAAGTAAAAACTCTGCATATTGACAGTTAATCGGATAGTCAGCTGTGCTTATTTATTGTGCCATGGGTGATCTTCTGAACTTCTAAAAAGGTTCACGTCATGATGCAGCAATAAGAAGGTCATTTATCAAAACAAAAACATCTGTTTTTTATTCGACCATATTTTTTTTAGTAATATATCTTATGGTTGGCAACTCTAATTCAAGTACATCGGATAGTCAGAAAAGAAAAGCTTTGTTTTTGTCTGGAACCATCTGTCAAATTTTTCCTTATAAAATGCCACATGGTTGACAACGTTGCACATCGAATTCAAATAGAAATTACGCATTTTGACAGTGAATCGAGTCATCAGCTGCGCTAATGGAGTACCTATTTATTGTAGTATGGTTCGCGCCTTCGAAAACACAATCTAATTCTTTTTTTCGATTTATAGATGGCGGTGTTATAACCCGTGGTTGCTTAAAAGCGGATCAAGACTGTACTGGCGGCAATTGCATATCATGTGATACGGATAAATGTAATAATCACAATATATGTAAGAAATGTACCACCGATGATGCCGATTGCTCCCAGACCGATGTATCGGATAAAAAATACAATGACATCTGTACAGCAGCGGATACCCAATGTTTTGTTAATGTCAAGGATAAGAAGGTTGAACGGCGTTGTGCCGCGGCAGATGACAGCTGCAGCAGTGACACCACCTGCAAGAAGACTACCGGCTCTCTAAGTAATGCCGGATTATTTCCAAGCAAACGTATCCATTGTTATCAGTGTGCCGTCAACGGATGTTCCGATGTCACGGCAAATAGTGTTGCGTCCAAGCCGTGCCGAAATTATATCGACAACGATGTGTGCTATATGACAGCCGAAAGTGCCACATCCGTTACTCGTGGCTGCAAGTCCGATGACACATCCAAGTGTAGCAGTGGATCGGAACAAGGTTGTGTTACCTGCAGCACAGACAATTGCAACAATGCCCTCTATGAAAGGCAACAAAAATTGAAATGCATTCAATGTCAGGGTAGCGATTGCTTCAAGGAACAACCCACCTCAGAGGCCAAGGATTGTGAAAAGAAAATCTTGTATTCGGATAAGGAGGCGTGTTATACCCTATTGGCGGATGATACCATTCAACGGAATTGTTTGCACAATGATGCCGCCGTTAAGGAGAAATGTGAAAAGGCCGGTGAATCATGCAAGGTGTGCAGTGATTCGGATGGCTGCAATCGTAGTGCCGAAACATCGAATTTCCAGTGTATTGTTTGTCGCAGCGATGAGACTCCAGAGTGTTGGAATGATGCCGCGAAAGTTAGTGGCAAAAATTGTCGAACCGGTGCTAGTTCTCCTGAGGAAGGATGTTTCCATGGTATTTGGAGTAAGTTTGTCGAGAAAAAAAATTGAAAATATTATAAGAATTAACAAATGTTTTTTCTCCTCCAACAGATGGCGTAGCCATACGTGGCTGTTTTATTGATGCCGATGCCAAAACCCAAACCACCTGTGCCGATAAGAACAACAATCAATGTCAGTTGTGCCACAGCTCAAAATGTAACACTGAGAAGTCATCTGGGGCCCAAAGTCTTGGTGTCTTTATTGGACTTATTATGGCCATGCTTTCGGTTATTTGGTATACGAATTAAAATCGAGAAAATCAAGTCAAATGAATTTATTTAACGAAACGAAAATTATATATATTATCATACACATTATATAGACACCATAAAAGCATACAATAAACATATCTCTTTTTATAATATTTAAAAAATGCTGACCAGAAGGAGTGGACGGGTGGGTCGAACTTGATATAGAGTTGGTAAAAAGAAAGAGTGGACTAAAGATTCAAATTTATAAAAATACGAAAGGAATGTTGACCCTTGAAAAAATATTCTTTAAAAAATCCATGCCTATGTTGACCCTTGAAAAAATATTCTTTAAAAAATCCACGTTAAAAAATAATGTCAAGAATTATTAGAACGTTTTTGAAATTTTCTAGAAATCTAAAGAAAAATATTTTGTTGTATAGATCATTATTTTCAATAAAACAATAATATTTTTTTAAAAAATCCAAGTCTTTTCGTGGTTTTTGAAAAAAATTAAATCATTTTCGCATTTCAGTAGTATTTGAAAAAAGTTCTTTAAAAATTCACGCCTATTTTGACCCTTGAAAAAATATTCTTTAAAAAAACCAATGTTTAGAAAACATTCTTACCTTGACTCTCCTACCTTCCTTACTCTCCTAAGCTGACGATATCAATGGAGATCAAACGATGAAGGCGGCAACGACCGAACGAGAATGAAACGAAAAACCAAACAAATGACGGAACCAGTTTAGTTTAGGAGCTTAGTTAGGGGCTCATCTCCATAGATAGATCTCATCCCTCTAATCGCGAAAATATATAACTTTTATGGATGGAAGTCCATACTTCCGGAGAAGTTCCGAAAATTCATATTATTATAACTTCGCCGATGAAGAAAATATAGATATGGTTGTAAAGCTTACACAATATCCTTTCACGTTAAACCCATTTTAGCTAAAAAAGGGCATTCGGCCGGGTTTTTTAGATTTTCTCCCATAAACAGGTTCAAAGTTCAACAATACGATCAAAATTTCCTTTTAAATTAACATTTTTCAAAGTACCAGGCCTACGGCCGTGGGTTTAAGACTTTCTTCTATGGACAGGTGCAAATTTCGGCTACGCGATCCCAATCCCTTTTTAAAATGACATTTTTCCAAGTAGCCGGCCTTCGGTCGGGGGTTTAAGATTTTCTCCTATGGACTGGTACAAATTTCGGCTACGCGATACCAATTTCATTTTAAAATTGTGTTTTTTCCAAGTATTTCTCCTATGGACAGGTGCAAATTTTGACTACGCGATCGCAATTCCTTTTTAAAACTAATTTTTTTCCTAGTTCCCGGCCTTTGGTCGGGGGTTTAAGACCTTCTCCTATGGACTGGTGTAAATTTCGGCTACGCTATCCCAATTTCTTTTTAAAATTGTGTTTTTTCCAAGTACGTAATCGCAATTCCTTTTAAGATTATAATTTTTCCCAGTACCCGGTCTTCAAAGTTCAACTATACGATCAACATTTCCTTTTAAATTAACATTTTTCAAAGTACCAGGCCTACGGCCGTGGATTTAAGACTTTCTCCTATGGACAGGTGCAAATTTCGGCTACGCGATCCCAATTCCTTTTTAAAATTATATTTTTTCCAAGTAGCCGGCTTTCGGTCGGGTTTAAGACTTTCTCTTATGGACTGGTGCAAATTTCGGCTACGCGATACCAATTTCATTTTAAAATTGTGTTTTTTCCAAGTACGCAATCGCAATTCCTTTTAAGATTATAATTTTTTCCAGTACCCGGTCTTCGGTCGGGGGTTTAAGACTTTCTCCTATGGACTGGTGCAAATTTCGAATACGCATCGCAATAACTTTTTATTTTTCCAAGTAGCCGGGCTTCGGCCGGGGATTAAAGACTTTCTCCGATGGACAGGTGAAAATTTTAGCTACGCAATCTCAATTCCGTTTTAAATTACATTTTTTCGAAATAGTTCAAATATACGTCGGAGATTTCAAACTTTCTCCTATTGACAGTTGCAAATTTCTGCTATGCGATCCCAATTCCTTTTTAAATTATATTTTTTCTATGCACAGGTGCAAATTTCGGCTACGCGAACCCAATTCCTTTTCAAAAATATATTTTTTTCCAAGTAACCGGCCTTCAGTTGGGGATTAAAGACTTTCTTCTAAGGTACTAAATTCGGCTACGCAATCAAAATTTCCTTTTATATTGTATTTTTTTTTTAAACAGATTTTATATAAATTAAATTTTTTATTCATTTTTAAAAACAAATTAATAAAAAAAATTTAAATAATATCACAAAAAAATAAAATGTACATGAACTAATTTAAATTAGGTATCAAACCGCCTCTTTTTGCAAGAATTACTTCCTCCTCGGAATCGGATTCATCATCATAATTCGATTCCACAAAACAATGCTCGGTGGCACTGACATTTGACACCATAGAGGTTTCGAAAAAAATCCATTCTGATTTCCTCCTGATCGCTAGCCGCTGTAGGATTTGCCAGGGCCTTACAGCTGGCCAGCAAACCGGAGAAATTCAAGAAATGGATCCTTCCCAATATAACCGTTGAAAAAAAATTGTCTACAGTTATATCTAGAAAAAGGCTCCTTAAGACGGCGGCACAAACCCTCTATGGTTTTGGTGTGCTCTCCATTTTCGGAATTCGTTCACCTTGTAATGGATATAACCTTCATGGTCCAATGTGTCATACACCTAAATATAAAAAATATATATTTTACTATAGTTAAGTCTATAAATGTTTCCCATTTACCTTCCAAAAGTCGGAAATTATCGTTGTTCCCAGTCGAATATATTTTTAATGAGGGTCAATTGGATTTTCTTCGAACGGTCTTCAACGGGGACAATAATAATTGCTAGTTCCCCTTTCAACACCACCGAAAACCAATTTATGATGAAAATTAATGCTAAACGGCATATACATTAGAACTTTTTACCGGTTTAACCTACATTATGAGGATTTATTTGACAGGAATTGACAATTGAAACCCACTGTTTTAACGGAATCCGGCTAAATGTAAACGTACTGTTAGAGAGTAAAACTAAAATCGTACTTACATCTACAAAATCTGGACAATTTGGATTTTGGTGACCAGATAGATTTCTGATTACTATTTGAAAGCAGGATTGAGTTAGTTTTGAAAATTCGTACTTATGATTACGAAAAGTATTAATGGTAATAAACTTAGATGTAGGAATAGAGGTATAATTCGGAATTATATTACAATAAATTATTCCCTTTCCGTATACGAAGTAAATGCATATAACCCATTAATTAAGTAATTATAATCCGGTGTTGCAAACTTTTCAGCCGCAGTGTTACCACCACCACCATCAGCTGTCTGTCTAATCGAAATTTGAACTTAAAAATTATCGACATAACGACAAATGAGATAAACGATTGTTTTGATTGATGTTGCAAAATACATATGAGATTCAAACAATAACAACAACATCGTGCCCAACTATCATTTCTTGTTTTGATAATTTAATTGTAATCACGAACCTAATAATTTTGAGGAATTGCTTAATCAGGTGACTTACCGAGTGTGACAAGAAAACAATTTGAAATCAATTTTTTTAAAGGTAGGTAAGTAATGACTAACTCTTGGAATGGTGAAGATAAAAATATTCTGTGCAAATAGAAGCCCAAAGCAAAATATTTTTACTCCGTTTTCTTCTAGTAATAAATAAATAAATTAAGGGTTCTGAATTTGAGGTCTATTGCACTTTTTAATTCTAATTGAGGTATAGACTTATTAAGGTATTTTGTTGTCAAATATTTTAACAGTGTGGTGCAAAATTGTTCTAATAAACTTGACAGATATCCTCGTCACAATTTGGAAAACTTTTAAATTTCAGGAAAAAGAAATTACTTCACCTCGACTCATACTCATTGAGCTCCGCAAAAATTTAAGAGGTGCAAATGGAGTTGGTTCGTGTCTACAATACACACACATAAGGTGCCATCTAACGCCAATTGTCTGACCTAAAATGAAATATGACACAATTTCATTCGACTTCCCATAAATCCCTATTATTTATTTATATTTATTCGTCTTCTCTTACTTAGAGGTTTAGAGTATCCTGTATACGTTCGCATTGATCTTGAAACGTTTGTAATTCAAATTCTCAAAAGTTCCAGTCATAGCTTAGACAACATATTCGGCCTTATCCATAACGTTAAAGAAGCTTTCATGTCAAAATATACGATCAGTTTCAGTTCGAGGTTACCACTTCCACAGAACTCACTTGATCATGATATACCACTTTGGAATTCGTTATTTCCTCGAATTTGCGGCCGGCTAGATTGGTTCTTCAATATTACTAGGACATACCCAAAATTATACTTTTTTCTGAGTTTCTCTATGGTCTGCTCACACTTCTGTGGGGATATTTTGCCAATTAGCCTTTTTACCGTGCAATGGCATTCGGGGAGTAGTGGATATCCATACTCTCCCCAATGAGCTGGATGGAAGTGTTTCTTCAACTTTTAAAACGAGCTATCCGTTTGTAAGTTGTCCTACTGATTACTCCATTTGTATCTTTGCTGTGAAGTACATAATAAGGTAGTCATTGGTCCAGCATTAATTTTAATTTTCTGGACTGGCTTCCATCTTTGCAAGCACCTCATTCTACCATCATAGTCCCGGCCTCGAATTCAACACTGCCTTTATAGCGTAGCGCACTTCTCCGATCACCCGCTCTTAATGATACCTCATAGACTTTACTGTCGCCGCCTCCAAAGTAAGGATATGAAGTCGAGGACAAAAGTCTATTTTCTTTTTTTGACTCTGAAAAGTCGACTATAGAAAACATAGAAAATCTGAAGTCGACCATAAAAAGTCTACTTTGCGATATCCTCAATAATCGAAAACAAAGACATAAAAGTATAAAGATAGGACAATTGATACGTAAACAATTTCCAACAGATGGATTTTCCTCTGTTCTTATGATATCATAAAAAAAGAGCGAACAGTATTAAACTCTAAGAGCTATATTGCAAGCTTATAAAAATAAAAACGTATATCTTGAGT